TGACTCGGAAGTCGGAAGTGATCACGAACGTGATGCAGTCTATGCGCGCATATTTGGTGGTGTGGTAAATACCATATCACTGCGTTGTCACACGATCAGTCGGCAATACAGATATTTTATGTTAATATTACAGTATATCACTGTAACATACTGTTAATCAGTCAGTTTACAGAAACAATGAAAGAAACACCCAGTATCGGTTCTATCTTCTAAAAAATTATACGCTGCACTGCAGCAAAAATGTTGTCTCTTTTAATTTGCTAACACAATTTGGAACACTCAGTATTGTGTTCATGACACGATCGAGGACTGTGGCCATGACCGACGCCATTTCCAAATACTCAGTATTATTATTATATAAAAAATGAATGAAACACTCGGTATCTTATAAAAATTATGCGCTGGACTACAACAAAATTAAAATGTTGCCTGTTTCTTCCAGTTTACTGACACATGTGTGGTGAAATAATGCCGGGATCTACACGTTTTAAATGCTGCCGATGTAAACAGTAATTGTTGGGCTTATCAAACATCATATAATATATACGGATCAGGTAAACTTTAGTATTCATACAGGACTCAACATACACATGTGACATTTGTCACATCCTTAATTATTAAACGATGTAACGTGCTGTAAATTAAACTTCATCCATAAACGTAATAAAGGCAAATAAGTAAATTTTTGTAGTTGACGCTATAAACATGACGTATCATATTTGAATATTTAATTTGCGAGGCGCCGAACATCTTTTTGTGCAGCATGGTAATCGTTGTGTTAGTGTTTAAACTCCACAATCCGGTTGGCATAGACAACTTATACCGGTTTAGACAGTGTGTGTGCCACTGAAAAATTCTTCCTCTTAAAAATTTGTTGAACAACAAACAGTCAAGCGTATTGAAAAAGTCCTTACGTAAATGTTGACAGTAACTCCCCGTGTTGGACAACAGACACATTTATCATCCGCAGCCGGCAGAACTGAAAAAAAGCTGCTTTAATCAAATATGCTAAATAAACTTGGTAAGCAGCTTTTCCTCCAACTGAGGCCTTTCTTTATATTAAATGCCGAGTATAACAAATACATTTGTATAGATATATATGCGACTCATTTCCAAAATGAATCCTTCGATGCGACTGTGTTATTTAGAATGGATGCCTTTGTGTTGCCGGCCAATGAATACAACACATGCCGAATGCTGTATCTGTATTGTCGGATGTGGAGCTTGTTTATGCTCTGGTGTATTATTATGTTGCCTCTTGTTTAGGCTGCCATTTAGCGGCATGTCAGTGTACAGTGGGCCGGTGTGTATAATAACGTCAAATGGGTGAACATTAAATAAACACAGCGGATCTTCTATATGGTCCATCCATTGAGCATGTACCGGTGCCGGTGCAGGGTATTCATTGCACTACTTTACAGTCAAAACTGGACAAATAGACATGTCGGCTAATAGGTAAAGTGATTTTGTTTAATAGTAACAGCAAAAGCTGGAAATTTCATTAATACACAGTGGGACAAAGAGTCTTTATCAAACAGGAAAATATGGCCTAACATTTTCATTGCCGCGGTAAACTGGATAAACCGGCTACAGCGAAATGTACTTAAATGGAAATGCCCACAGATAACACCGATTTCCTTTATATGCACGTCGGTATGTAAGTACTTTATTATGTGAAGCCGCGCAGGTAAAGATTTATAAATTTACAACTGACTGATTGCGAATTAATATTTATTTCCTGCCAATCACAGCATTTTATAATATCGACATTCAGCACTACGTTTTTTGCACATGATGCTTTAGTTCCTCCGTGTAATTATGATGCGCCGGTATTCTTCCTGCAGCTGATGACCAAAGTACAACAACAATTATAGCAAAAAACTATAAAACAAAACTAAAACTCAGTTTTTCACGGGGATTAGCAATGTTTTCCAAGCAGACAACAGCACTGATAGTGCAAAGTAAACTATTGTTACGTTAATGAAAACATGCACTAGCTTGCTGAGCCCACAGAACCTGAATATGAACCACCATTCAGCCGAATACTGAGTAGGGTACTACTCGTCAAAAAAACTCATGCGCGAGCATTCCCATCGCCGCTCAGCTTGATCTGCACCTCCAGCATCTCACCAAATGATCCAAACAATTCGCGCAGATCATCCTCATTAATCTAGAAAAATAATAAAAAAAATTCTTTTTCGTTGTTAAAGTTTTAAAATAGTTCCGATTAGATTGACAAAACTTGCGAACGTATAATTTGTGGCAACAAAGATCTTCCTGGTAGTCTGCAACAGCGAGATCTACTCTACAAGTAAATACAGAAAATTGTGTTGTATTAAGAAATCCACACACAGAATTACTGTACTTAGTTATTAATGGTAAGTTGATCGGAGTGAAACGAAAACTTTTAAACGCAAGTTCGTCTTTAGATGGAAAGTAATTAACACAACGTGGTCCTGTGATTTACGTTACTTTAACTACTCTAGCTAGCTATACTATCCAATGTGCATTTTTGGCTGTACAATGGACATAGTATGAAGAAGATCAAAACAAAGTTTTATAGTACAATTTTGATGACAGAAAGCCAATTCCTGATTCTCTATTCAAGGGCTCAAGGCCATAAGCATGGTAACGGGATGAGTCTTTGGTACTGTTCTTTCTCGCGTCAATTGTTCTTAATGCCTGCTTTTGAAATACTGAATAAAGTCTTTCTCTCATAGTAATAATTTGTCAAAAGCACAAAGTAGTAAAGTATAAAATCGTAAAATCTGCTGCTTTATATTTTGCAACTATAAATTACTCGTATTTTGTGATTACGAACTCGAACAAGAATGCACAGAAACGTGTACTTTTATAAGCTGGAAAAGTTACAGTGACTTTACACTAATAACATTTTAAAGGATCTAAAAGAGGATAATTTCACAATAAATGTCAAGCTGTACATTGTATACACAAGGCTTTAAAAAAGGTTATAAAAAATATTTGAGAATGCGATATGCTGTAAAAACTGCGCATTGGTACAAAGTACAGTCTTTTATGTTGCAGACGCAGCTGCGCATTATACGGTTATACCGTAAATGCGAATTTTAACTTTTGCGAGCGCAGTGAACATGATAATTAATGTTTACTTTTTTAAAAATCGGGAAATCAATTATTATTATTAAATTAATTAATTAACACCGCGCATCAGCATGAGCTACTCTAACCGTAACCGTACCGCTATTAACGCAATATAAAAGTATTTCATACTTTAATTTTCAAAGGATGCTTTATTGACGACGTGGCGGGAAATCAGTGTGTTGTTGCAGTATATATGCATTATTATTACTGGAGTGCAAACTGCGAAGTTGTTTTCATCACCGGTAGCGCATTTTCTTTGGTACGGCCTGCAGCTGTTGCGCAGATATGGTCAGTTATGCAGATTTAACTTTAAACACGAGTACAGATGCTTCGCGTAAAGTCCGAAGAAAAACGGCGACGACTTCTCGAACTGGTTATGGTCTTCGTAGATTGCTATACACATAATTTTTTGTGTGGTTTTTGTGGTTTTGGCAGCACATATACTAAAATTTTTATTAGTATAAAATTCATTGTACCTATATATAGGTAACCTATATATGACTTCATTGCCAGTTTGCCACAACGCCGTCTACGGACCGAAAATGATCGCTCAGGCAAGTTGAGAACGAAAAATAAAAACGTAGCAACCGGGAACCAGAAACCAAAACGATCAGCCAGAAAGCACAATAATCATGTAACTTTCATTATATTTAAGATATCTGATGTGGCGCTGCGTAGATGTCCCAAAGTTACACACATGGTTACTGGAATGAATATACCGAAAGAATTAAAATAAAAAAGCGATGATAGTTGCTGGCTTTCAGTCGCCGTTTTGACGATGTCGATGATAAATGTCCGGCAAATGTGTTCAAAAGCCACAAATTCTTGAACATAATTTCGAAGTATTACATATTTCGTTGCTCACTTGAATCTACTGATAGCGTAGTTTTGCTACACGGATGGCAATTATATATTTGCACCTTGGTGACCTTTCTTCTGGTGTACGAATAACGTCATATACATATGAACACGGATTTAATAAGAGGTTCATCTTCATACTAATTACATATGTAGGTAAAAAAAAGTTTAGTAACAGTGTCATTTTACATTTCAAGCCAAACTTACTCGTACAACCTTTTTAGGTAGGAATGAATGTACAGCATTAGTATACCCGCATACCCGTGAATTGTATTCGCAAACCCGCGATCTTGAACTTGATTTAGTCTTACGTAAGAAAATGAATTGAAAAATGCCACTGTTTTCAAGCCAGTTTTCTTGTATTAGCGCTACACTTTGCAGTTGAATACATGATGATTTACACCTGCCGCTCGGCACATCGGAAACGCAAACAAAATAAACAAAAATATCGATTGTCCGCAACGGTTTGCTGATTTTTCTAGCCGGCTACAAATTACAGCGGGATCAAGTTCAGGCTGCAAAAACAATACATGGGAACACTCCAGTTTGGCTTTTCAATGACCATTAGAAATTTTGCAATTTGTTTCTGGTTTTTATTGCGCTAATCATACGTTTAACATCTGGTTTATCAGTCAGTTTGAGTTATTGCTTTTATCGTCGAAGTTACTTCATAGAACACCGGGTGTGTTGTATGATGCGGCATATTGTGTTCTGACGAGTTCTTAACACAAAAGCACACATTCATAATTCGGAACAACGTGTACAGTAATGCTCACGGTGCACGCTTGATTGCTTTTACTTTTTAATTAGGGTATTAGATAAATCACTATTATTTAATAAACAGTCAGGACACTATTACGCAATCCCACGAATAATACAGAAAACGCTGAACTTGAACTTGACACAAAGGTGATTCATGCCCAACTTCTCATCTGCACTCTGCAGTGTAAAATGGGAATATACAGGTATATATAACGATCGGTGTAAAACGATCGACCATCCCATCCACATTTTTGCCGCGCTGTGCGAAAACTACCTTCCGTTAGCGTGTAAATATATGTGTACATAGCCAGTGTATAGAACGCTTGTATATATCGCGCGCATACGTAAAAATGATTCTCCAAATTTTGTTCCTATTTGTAATGACATTTTCCGATGCTCAGTATGTTTTTGATTTATATAAAAATCAGCCGGCATTGCAAGCAGCGGAAGTGTCGAAAATTCTGAGTGATGCTGTTCCTGGGGTATCGTATCCAGCACTGGCGCAAATACCGGCCACCGATTTCTCCTGCGATAAGATGAACATTTCCGGTTTTTTCGCCGATACAAGTAATGCCAGCCGGTGCCAGGTGTTCCATCGCTGTGATATTAACGGTCTCTTTACCAGTTACTTATGCCCCAATGGGACGCTGTTCAGTCAGATCCTGTTAACCTGTGATTATTTTTTCAACGTCGACTGTGAGAGGTACGTTAATTAATTATGGTTTTAAATTATTTTATGTATGGCGATGAAAACTGTAATTAAATGTGTCTCTATTAAATTATTTAAATTTACTGGAATTTATGTAGTGCTTAAGTATGTACTTTGATCTTTGATGACTCACATTTCCACATGACGTACGGTTTTCGGGGAAAAAAGCTCAAATTTCGTAGTTTTTTATCAAAGAGAAAGCTAATCATTTTATGATAAATAGTGCACACAATATGTCAGAACGTTTGGCTACAAAGGTTTGGTTTACTACAGATATTTGCAAAGCAATCACTTATTTGTTTCTCGACCATTAGCTTCAAGTTATAAATTATGTGTAAATTTATGGTAATTCTGTGCAGTCAATTTTATGTATTGGGTCACGTCTCTTAATTAAGAAGATTGTGTAACTTCAATTAGGACTTTATCGTTTTACATATAAAATTTCGTACATTCAAAAGTTGTGGGATACCGTGAGACTTTACAACGGTGATTGATAACCGGGGCTTTAGTAACACTCGTTGTAGTGACTGGCAGAATCATCTATGCAAACGATCCACGTCATTATACTGCACTACAAAACGATGCTTACCAAAGAATACCGGGGCTAACGTAATCAGTGGCAATGACTGTGCTAGGGAACACTTGTGTATTGTTGAGTTTTTTATGTAATCATGTTGCGGCATCGTAAAATGTCAATAATCAATGCAGATGTGTAAACCTCTGTGGTATTTTTTATACACAGAAAGGTATAACTGCATGCTAAGTACACTCATATAATATACATGTATAGTTGTATACAGTATTCATAGACATTTAAGAAGCGCAAACCGACAACGTGCTTACATAATTATATTGCACTATCTTTATATACGGTCCTATGTATGTGTACAGTATTTTATACCTATTTATGTAGTAAACATATTCGATTATTACTTAAATGGATACATATACATCTATATTAATTTTCAGTTTTATATTTTAAGTTTGCTTCCTTTTTTTTACCATTATTTTCTATTTGTACAGCGAAGTTAAATACCGGGACTACGCCAACTCGCGATTGTACAAGCCGGGTGTAGCACTGTTTGACAGTCCACCTGCCGACTACGTTTCCAACATCAGTCAATCCCGCGCGGTGCCGACACCCGTGTCCGGTGCTATGGCGCGCGCTGATACCGGTGAAGTGCGCAGTTTTCCCGCTAAAATCATAACAGTCCGAGGCGAAGCGGCAAATACCGCAGCAACCACTGCGTCTCCACAGCCAAGCAGTGTATCCAAAGGTGCTGCCGCACCAACCCCGGCAAAATTTACAGGAAATAGCGTATCGCTTGTGACGGTACCGGCTGGAATGCCGCGACCAGTGCGAGAGGAAGTGGATGTACCGGCAACCACCAACACTACTGAACGGCGCAATATCACAAGCGGATTGAATTCGAAATCGTTGTCAGAGCAGCTGCTCCGTTCTAAGGATTTATTGCTGGATGCACCGTATCAAGATGCGGATAATCTTACCCTGGTCAACGTTACCGATCACGAACAAACCGACAATACAACCAGCGGCGGACTGATAGGAGCCAGCGGTATCGTAAATACGATTCTTCCCATGACCACGCCTTTGGTAACGTCTACATTCAGCACTGTACGATTACGGAACGATACAAACACTTCGACCGACACGGTATTAAAGGTCACAGTTTTACCCGCAACAATGATATCCATTGCAAACATTGCAACCGCTGCTTTAAACACGTCAATGGTCGCATCTACAAGGGTCATGGCGACAACACCGGTTGTTAATGAAACTACCGGCACGTTCGGCACTTCAACGATTACGATGACTAATGTCACGGCTAGTCCGGTAATAATGCCTAGTTCGAACGCCACGGCTGTCCCGGCATCCACGACACTAACACTCCAAAATATTTTACTGCCGGAATTAGCAGAATTTGGTCTGATGAATGAGACGGTAACGCAGGCCATCCCGGCGGAATGGGACAATGTGTCGGCCAATCTCAATCCACCGGTGGAACATATGGGATTTCCGGAGGCCTTATCGCTGCGCTCCAAAGATAGTCCGGATGCGTCCGGCTCCACGGATGTGCTGGGTGATGGGGAGGTGGCGCCGAATATCACACTGACCGGAAACAGCACCGGACCGGCGAACCGAACGGGAGGCGACACGGCGGAGATCGGTGGCAATCAAGGTATGCATTTACGAGTGCTTTACAGATACATGGATATCTGATAATCTGGCAGTATCATGATTAAATGTAATATATATTTAATTCTGATCCTTCAGGCTCGAATCGTACTGTTTTAAATAATAATCTACCGTTTCGTACTACTCCTACCCGGCTATCGCCGCAGCAGTGCACATTGTGCCGTAACCTTTTGCAAGCATGTAACGCGTGCACGGCTAAAGCGGCAGGAAAAGGCACATGTTGTATTGTACAAGTCCCCAGCTAAAAGTTCTGCGGTACGAATAAAATTACCTAAACAAACATCGCATTTAAATACTTCATTGTAATTATTGAGGTTCTTTAAAATTTTGAAATGATATACAAATTCATTAATCTAGAGCGCATTAATTTTGTTTCGTGCACTTAATGCGCCAAAACAAAAAAACATCATCATGACAGAAATTACAGGGTACGTTTGCACGTAATACTTAATTATTAAGAATGCTTATATTAATGTGCATTGTATAAATGTTCGACATGTTTTTTTTTATTGCAGACAACGTTGTATCGTCCGCTGTGATATCTGATTTAGAAAAGAGTCTAACAACAGTGCGCGGAGCGGTGGTTTCTGATATGCCGACTTCCACTATTCCAAGTTCGCCGCCGACAACCAGTACACAATCATTATTGACATCTACGAACTCCACCGGCACGCTTACGCTCGCGCAGGATAGTCACACAAATTCGTCAATGAATGTTTGATAGATTTATGTTCAGTATTTTCTTTGTGCAGTATCTCATGTCAGAGTGTAAAACTTTATCATAAAACATATCTGTATATTGAAAGGTTTTACAATAATGTGATTATAATAATTTCTCGCATCGGGTATTTTAGCTACAGTAAAAAATGCAGGTTCCTTCAGCTTTCGGGGCGTTAAAATATCTACAGAAAAAAACGTCACTTCACACAGGACTGTTTCATTCAAATAGTGAAACTGTGATAAAAATCTTTTACAGTTAAAGTCACAAATCGCGTCTAAGGCGTCTTGACCTTTCTTTGTATGCAGAGTTCCGAAAAAGGCGCGATTTACATGCCAGAATATTATGATGTTAAATGTTCATTTTGTCTTCAACCCCACACGACAGATTGTTTGCATATTTTGGTGGATTTCTGTTTTTAATGTATGCGCAAAATGCTGACATATATAATCGTTTTACAATCGTACGAACGATTTCTCCAACGCGCCAGTTTTAATCTATGAATTCAGTTGGACTGGTTCTTACTAATTCAGAATGCAAAAATTGATGATCGGTATCTAACTCGAACACATCTTTTTCAGCAGAGAACCGAGATACAACAAATACAAAAATCTGACTAAATAAATAAAATATCAATACCGGTTATATGCCACCGTACAAGTACCTTCTAAAAGTAAAACAGTAAAATCTAAGCAGGATTTCTTCGGGAAAAAAAGGAAAAAACAATGGAGATTGCTTCCATAAAATGTCTGAGCGACAAAAAAGTTCACAACGTAGATAACGGAACAAAACAAGCAGGCGGTAACCGCTTAAAACATAAGACCACCGCGACCTCCGTCGTTCTTCTTATTAGCCGGCCGCGATTTACTGCTGCTCGCCTCTCCCGTGTCACCACCAAACCCGAATCCGCCAAACGAAAATCCACCAAATCCTCCTCCACTTCCCCCGAATCCACTGCCGACCTGTCCACCCCCACCAAATCCATTACCACTCTGTCCACCCCCACAAAATCCATTACCACCTTGTCCAACTCCACCAAATCCACTGCCACTCTGTCCAACTCCACCAAATCCACTGCCGACCTGTCCGTCATTGGAATTCTCACTGGGCACAGGCGATGGTGTGCCGAACATGTGGAAGCGTCCAGCTGCCGCCGCATTCCCACCGAATCCGCCCTTTGCTCCGCTGCGATCCGGCGCCATATCAAAAAACATTCCCCGACCGGAGAAAAACTCCGCCGGACTACTCTCGCGGTTCAGCGTGAAGGCCAACTCCGACGTACTGGAGCCCGATCCTTGGGTGATAGGCGGGGTGTCTTCGACGGCCGGTTCCGGTGGCTCGGCGACGGCGTCCAACGCGGCGAACTCCGCGGGGATACGGCGCGGAGAAACAACCTCGTCAACGTCGGCCATGGGCGGCTCTTCTTCTTCTTCGACTGGCGCCGTTTCGGAGATGTCAGCCGGTTTGGTGGGGAGTGATTCCACTTCCATGATGGAATCGTTCAGACCACGCACGGATCCCGACATACTATCCTCGCCTCGCTGCTGCGCTTCCCAATCCATTAAGGCTTTGACTTTTTTCAGGTTCTGGCAGCGAGCTACATACTCGCGGCAATCATCTTCAGCTTCGCGCAGTTCCATTTCGATCTTCTCACTAGTACAATCGCATAAAAAACCTTCATTTGTCCAAAGCAGACTTTTAAACGAACCAACAAAAAACAAAATCATATATGAACTGGAAGTATTATTATTAACTGCACTGTCAGTAAAAAAATTCTACAATTGTACAAAATTTTTATCGCGCAGTGGCTTGCATTGCTTGACAGTTGACGCAGCATGGAAATAATTACAATTACAGGATTTTTCATTAGCAGTTCGAACCACATACATAACATTGAGAACAACGTTACCGACTGTTGAAGTGTGAGGGAAACCTTACATTTCGCGCACTGCCATCTCCTCGGCCTCGAAGTTACGCAGCATCAGAACACCGATTTCTTGCTCCATATTGCGAATGGCTTGTTTTTCACTGATAAAAATAATAAAAATGTACAAGTACGAGTCCGGCATGGAAAACGTATGTTAACCGCATGCATAACATAGTATTAGTAAATCATGCATATCTACATTTGCAAAAAGTCGCTACGCTCCACGTTATATTCTGTGCACTTGCAATCTTACATACAGTTACACAAAGTACATTTTCCTTTGAACGACAAAGCTGGCAGAATATGCGTGATAAAAAAAACATTCTCAAACAAGGGTTAACCTCATGATTGTTATTGTAAGTACATACTATCTTGAGTATTTATACCCCAATCACCGAATAGCAATCGCCGTTGCCAGAAGACGTCGCTTCTAAAAAGTAAGCTTACGCGCAATCGGTCTCATCGAGCGCAGCATTGGCTTCTTCCGTCGCCTGGATCTCAGCTCGCAGTTCCTCCAGTTCAGCGTCCAGTTTGCTGTTCTCCGCTTGCAGACTTTCCAGAGCCTTTATTTTACCTACATTACGAACAATGATGAAGGAATGCAAACATTTTAATCAACAGGGAAAGGTTGTAGTGACCGAACTGTTCTTCACCTTTCAGTTCACTCTCGGTTTTGGCTGCTAGCTTTTGCCAGTATTCCAAGGCCGCTTCTGCAACCGTACAAAAGCAACTTAGCAGTGGTCATAGTGCAGTAACGGAGCAAACGGAAAATGTAGAGATCCGGGATAACTTCGCTCCATAGCGAACAAAAGCAATCACCTAGTTTGGCAGCAGACTGTTGCAGGGAGATGTCTTCCATGCCTTTATCCACAATCTCCTGTGTCGACAGCACCTGCTCTTCCTGCTCAGCATTCATGATTAACGATTCCATCAAAGATGACAGAAAACTACAATTCACTGTAAAGCTGCACAAAGCTACAGTTAAGTTAATGCAGAGCTAAAAAAAAACTAGCAATTCCGAAAATTTTCGATAACGACAAAAGTCGGAGTTTCAGAAAATCAATCAAATTTTTGCACTGCACTATGATTGTCAAGTAAGTACTGTGTCCACTCTGGTCAGTCTGTGCTACAACGAGCAGGTTCAGACACGCATGCTTGATAGATCATCACAGTTTGTGAAGCGTTCCGCCCACTTCCGGCGTGTTGGCCAATTGCTGAACGCCTTTGATTAAAAGCAAATTGTGCTGTACGGCGCATATAGGTGTATAATAAATAAATATTAAATATTAAATATTTAATTATCGTACATACAACCCGTTTTTTTCTGCTAGTTATCAGTATAAGTACAAAATGACGTTATTGGTTATAATATAAGTTATAAGTATAAATACTTATAACTTATATATATAACGTTGATATATATACCGTTGATATATATAACATTGATATAACTTATATATATAACGTTGATATAAGTTATAAGTATAAGTACAAAATTATTATGTATGTGTTATTTTCTGTTTGTTCAGATCTACGCAAATACGAGCAACCCAGTGTAGCTGCAAATTCAACTCTGCTGTAGTTTTCTTGATTTGTACGCGTGGTAATAAAATCGAACTTTAGGTACAAAATTTTACAATGTTACGGTCAGGTAACTAGCTTATCGTATCCGCCTAATAGTGTGCCTTACAACAGCATTAAGCAAATTGCAGGTTTCGTTGTTGGTCACGATATGTTCCAGATTGTTGACGTGGTGTTACGGCAGAGGGAACTGCCGTGAGCTGCACAAACAATATTATCAGAACGTCAAACCAAATCAAATGGGAGCACACAATATCATTGAATTCTTCCCTAAACGGCACACAATACTGAGAAGAGTACAAGACAAATTATTAGCCGGAGCATCCAATGAGCACGTTGTAGTCGGCAGGCACTTCCAATCGGATGCTTCCATCCGTTCCCACTCCACGTTCCTTGATAGGTGAAGCAGTCACGATCGTTCAAGGCAACATCAAACCGGCGACTCTTACAAAATTCCACACCGTCTTTATACAGCAGGCCAACCTGATCGCCTATATATTAATTAACGCGGTTAAAATGGATGATTAATTTTATTGACATACACAGTTAGATTATTGATCATGAATAGTTCTTTCAATATAATTACTTGCTTTATTGGGCAAAGGCCATCAGTATAACAAAAAGTGCGTACGCGTAAATCTACTTAAAATGATTCGAATTTAAACGTTAAAAAAACAACCAGAATCGTTATAATATAATTACTTTACTTACATAGCTTTATATGTCAGCTGTAAATACAGCTTTATATAATTAAATTAATACAGCTGTAATGCAGTAAATTCAGCTTTAATTACCCACACAATACGCCAATGGCACTGGGCTCAGAATATGCGCGCGGCTGCCCTTTGACAAAGGATGACCTTTGTAGCATATATATGTAGCTCTGGTCATTCACTTATTGCCTCTACAAAGGACCGCAGGCATTTCATTTTGAAGATCTGCCTAGTACCTTTATAAAAGCTAATAATAAGGCAAAATGCAGTTATTTTAAACGCTGTCTAATCAAAGAAGTTTTTATTTCGTGAAGCAAACTGCCCTCCCGAGACTTATATACGGCGTAATAAAATGTCAGAATGATCAACGATTAAGGCACGCTATCGCTCGATTGGATATCCAGGGGAGCCGCGGCGATGATCAACGTAAAGGAACAATTACGTTTCAAGCAACGAGCTCACCTTTTAATCTGGCAGTTTTACAGGCATCCAAAACAGCATCACAGAATGACCGGCACACGCGTAAACGATGCCATCCATTTCGATAGAAATTGTATTGTACTGCAATTAAATGATGCTGTAACAAGTTTTCGAGTGACTGTAATAAAATTCTCTGAACATACTACAAAGAGAACAAATCTCCATTGTTCTACGGTAATGTACGTGTAGAAGATTTTGGATTTTATCTCTTTTATCTAACTGTTCATAATAACTTAAATTTCTAAATACAGCATACTCGTTCAAGTGCGTACTCTGTAATTGACAAATTTCATAAAACATTGATTCAGAAACAGTGGTTACTGTTATTTTGGGCTATACCGCACGACACGCCTAGTACCTTTATAAAATTTTCCCATCGAATTTTCATCGTAAAATATGAGTAAACTGCTAATACGCTGAAAAGATGCATTATAAAGCAAATGATTAGTAATAAGACCTGCAAGAAGTTGCAACAGTATGCTGAACGTCTTTATTACATAGCAATTTCCGTTTGCATTTACATTTATCCAGATTAATTTTAATAATTAGAAGGATACAGTGATAATGCACAATGAAGGTACTGTACTTACACGGATCACACACCCAACAGATCATGTAGTTCATCTGCCGCATACAGCTCTCCGATGCCCCTTGGAGCGGTCTGACCTTTTTAAAAATCGATTCCAGTTCGGCCTGCCGGCAGCAGCTGTACTGTGAACCACAAACACCAGTCAGTTATAATCTTTGAGAAATCCCAACACCTGGCGTGTTGAATAGCAGGCAAAAAAAGCGCTGTATACAACAGATCGAACGTCATTCTTTTGGCGGAAATGATATCATCATAGTGTTTGCCAACACCATTCACATATCTGTACGTTTAGTCCCTTTTATAAATATATGTAATAAAAAAAGATCGGTATATCTCACATTTATACATACAACGAAGATTGTATGTAAGGAAAAATTAGATGCTGTTACAATAATCTGCTGTTGAAAGATGCTGTTGAAATTTTGGCTGGATGCAATTTTATGGTTATATTGTCCGTTTTTTTTGTGCTCAGTTACGCTGCACGAAGTGTGCCGTTTATACAAACAATTATCTACAATTTTTCGTACGTCAAAGACACACTGGTATAATTACGCTATCTGATAAATTAGATAAGCTATAACATTTTTACGTGCCAAAAAGGTGTGAAACATTGCACAAAACGAGACGAGCAAAACAATTAATTGTAGGTAAAGCCGACGGTTATACAAGTAGTCATGGAATAAAAAGCGATTAGCAATTACTCTTTGAATAACTCATTTTACTGCCGCTCGTACGTAACCTAACTTACGAGAAGTGGATGTAGAAATTGCTAAATTGCATTAAATTGGGATCAATAGAAAACAGTGAGCTTCTTCAAAATGTTTATTCTGAAATATTCTAATGTTAAGGGATAAACCATTTGTAAGTTTGCTCAATCATAATTTATTTTTTGTTCTGATATGTACTGAATTTCAACCTGATTCGAATAATTTATAGAGAGTATATTTTAAACATAAAAACATTGGTGATTAATGACTCTTGCCACGGCAGTGAGACCATTCCGTTTATTGTCTTGTTTATAGACTTTTGATTACGCACGCGTGCAGGTCAAGTTGCAGTTTTGTGTTTAATTATATCCTCCAGCCGCGGCACAGGAGTAGCTGAGTGGTAGTTTACCGGTATATCGGATAACGTGGCGTCCCTGAGTGACCGATTTGTGGGAGATCACCGGCAACCTGATCTGAAGATGGGGCATATGGACATGGATGCGATGGGTCTGGTGGGATGCAAGAGTATATGCATGCAGTGCATTTTTTCCAAGGATGCATTACAATCATTTAAAATAACATCTCCGCTATATATAATATAATTTTATCCCTGGTAATGTGTAAACTGTGTTAGGGTTGTTCTCATAACTTTTTATCCATATACTAGAAAATCCATCTGCAGAGTCTCTTCTACTGGGTAGGTAAATAGGTATGTGGAGTAGTGGGTTTTGACTTTCCGGTGGTGTACCTGTATATCAAATTTTGCCCATCCCACGACTAAATAAATATACGGCGCCGCACTGCCACAATTACCGCATGACACAACAGGAAATTGAGCATCGAGTATTTGTAAACATCAAAAGTCAAAAAGATCGACATAATATTGTGCGTGACAATATTTCGTACAGTCCACTTAACTTAATTAAAATTTTATGCTTAGAATGAAATTGAGCCAAACTAAAGTGCTATACGGCACTACACCCTGTTAATAACATTTATATGGAAAGACAGTTTCATATGTTTCGGATGAGTGGCTCACAGATAACCGCATATGATTCACAGGAGTGCATGTCGGTTCATGCAAACCGCTTACAGCGCTGACTGATAACGCCTAGGCAGTCATAACTTTATCTCGTTCGTAACGAGTAGCGTCGTGGTTCGGCAAATTTTGTTCGAAAATACTAAACCTAACTTCAGCTGCCAACTGCCAAGCACCTGTCGGCATCTGGTTAAAACACATAAATCAGCATTTTTACTGGCCAAAGCTTTTACTGGCCTAAGGTTTTGACACTTTATATAATATTGTTATGTTCTACACTAAATATTTTTTTCTTCATTCTAATCAGTGAAAAACGAAAATGCTGAAGTTGATACGCGCTCATGCATCGTCATCGTGAAAAACTGTGAAAATATGGTGATCAGCCGGTGCACTTTCCGGTCTCCCCATTGTGCGCGTTCGATTGCGCAAGTACGTACGGTAATTACAATGCGTTGCGGGGCTTCCGAGTTCCGACCGTATTACGAGAATCCTACTCTATTAAATAGTATATGGATAAGCCAATGTAAAACACTACGCAGAAAACCTCTATAAATCTTGATGTACCTTAAAAGTTAAAAGATAGATTCTTCTTCGTTTTTTTGGTTATTAATAATTAGTCATGAAACCTGCCTCTAACCAGTAATTATGCATAAGGCGCAGTATGCACCATTATGCATCTGCATATACGTATACTACATAATTTTATGTATATAGATATATGTTGGTAGCACTTCATAAATATTACATTAATCACCTTCACAGATCTAGAGAGCGATCTGTGTAGACTACGTACAGAGAATACGCACAATAACCGAGGTATGACTTTCGAACTACTGTATTTTGGAAGCAGCTAAAAAATGAGTAGATACCGTAAATGAAAGTCGGCATGTGTAATTTTTCACACGCGCTATGAAATACTAACCGATTACGTTAATTACTTGAAAAACTTAATGGCCTGTATCTGTAAATTAAACCGATTTCTAATCATGGTAAGTACAAAACCGAAACGGTCCGCTTTTATCTACAGTAAATACTGCTAAATTCTAAAACAACTGCATGTTTATAATTTGTGATAAGTGCAAAACTGAATTATTCCAAAAGCCTAAATACCTGGTATACCGGCGGCAAAGTCAAACTCGTTTAACTAAATACAGCTCGATATATTGATACTTAACATATGTACCTATATTAGTATTAATAGTATATGGCTATATGTGTACTATATATAGTATGTATGTACACACTAACAGTGCACTTGCAGCATATAAAAAAAACCGCCGAAGTACTGTAATACTTTGTTTATTTCCATTTTTCCTATTTTTATTCATTAATTATATGATTAATTCACAGAAGACATTAAACAGTTAATGGCTGACCTCCCACAGCAGACGCGCACGGTCGCGTACATGATAATATTACTGTTATCAAAAAAGTCTCTTATCAGGATTTCACACGGGGTCGCGTCGCAACGGCTGACTGCGCCATACAGTTCAATTGCGCGCGGCAAAAATTGTCAGTGTGATGAAAACTCAAAACTGGCGTCCTATTATTTTGTCCACCGTTCATTTTGTCCACCATTCATTTTGTCCACTAATCATTTTGTCCACCGATCATTTTGTCCACCATTCATTTGGTCTACACTTTTTTTAAATTTGATATTAACCGTAAGTACAACATTACCACTTACCAAAATTAATTTATGATTAGTTACAATAAAACACACAAT